GATCTCATCATGCAGTACTCGTAGATCTGGGGTATATCATGCCATGACGTTAGTCTGTTTATGGTGGTTTTATTTGATTGCTTATCGATAAGGCGGGCGGTAAGAAACTGCCCCTCCAAGTCGGTGTGGTGTGGTCATTGCGGCCGGAGCGCGTGGAAAATTCTCCCAGTCCGCGGAGTAGGTACCGCCTTCTCTAACTACTCAACAACAACCTCCTGCTCTCGGTCGTTCAAAGCAGCAGATTCGGCTCTGGATTTCAGATCATATTTTTGGGGAAGGTTGGATAATCCCCTTCCCCATTACCCGCAAGGACACTCTATCGACACCTTTAGGGAAAGAATCCCGATCTCAGCCGCAGTCTTCGTTTCCTGCCTATTGCCTAGCCACACCGTTGGCCGAGCTGCCTGAGTCTTGGACGTACTGTCGTTTGTCACCACGCAGTTTGCTTGCTGATATTTCAACTCTCTCCATTCAACAGGGAAAACGCAAATTTTGGAATCTCCCTTTCGTCGCTTTTCACGGCAGTTTAAGAGGTGGAAAACAGACAAGAATCCATCTGGAAGTGATAGCGGATAGCAACGAGCTTTGTGCAGCAATTCCAAAGGTTCAGGCTCGTAATTGATATTTTACTCGTGAACGACCGGCTCCCGCGAAACAATGGCTGCGGAAGATGGACTGGCGGACGGGAGGATGGCCGATATCGTTCGTGCGCTTGAGCTCATACACAATCCTTCGTCAACAAATGAGCTTCGCCGCGAGGCACTCCAGTTTGTGGAATCGCAGAAGGGAAGCCCATCCGCCGCTCGGAATGGCTATCTGCTAGCGTCGCGAAGAGAAAACGATGTACTGGTTCGCTATTTCGGGTTGACCCTTCTTGACCACGTCCTACGCCATACTTCGTTCACTGCTACGGATGAGATAGTGGGCTTGAGGGATATCGTTTTGAAGCTTGCCGAAGCCATTCAACCAGAAGATCCTGCATATATTCGCAACAAGATTCCGCAATTATGGGCTGAGGTCGCCAAGAGGAGCTGGGGCCTGGATTGGCTGGACATGGATGAACGACTCCTCCAATTCTGGAATGCAAGTCTTGTGCATAAGGAACTGGTCCTACTCGTTCTTGAGACACTTTCGGAAGATATATTCTATCGCGAGGATACCGTTTCATCGCTCCGCGGAACGGATCTAAACCGAAACTTGGTGGAAATTTACACCCCCCTGGTTGTATTCGAGCAAGCGCATCCGGAACGCGATAACCATGTAGAAATCCGTTGTGGGAACGAGGGTTGGCTGGCCCGAATCTGCGAATTTCTGCACGACTGCATTGGCAATATACAACATTCGAAACAAGCAAAGGATGCTGCTCTGAAGGCTCTAGCCAACTTCAAGTCGGTGCTAGTGTGGTCAATACCTAGGGCTATTCATCTCTCAGGCTGCGTTCAGAGCATTGCTAGAGCTTTCACTTGCAGTGATGAGCAGGTGCTGTTGGTAAGTATTTGATTGACATTCTTGGAGGCCCAAAATGCTTACCCAAAATCTAGGCTGCGGTCGAGGCGTTACATGCGCTATATAGCAGATCAGCATACGACAGTGAAGGATTTCAACCCCTAGTACATATAATGTATGAAACGGAGTCCCTCAATGTGATCTTAAAGTTATTTCAGTGGTCAGTTGTTGGCCCCGAAGATATCGACGATACAAAGTACACAATATCCAAAAAGCTTTCTGAGGTACTGCTACCATCCGGTTAAAATTAAAGGGTTGCACTAATATATCCATAGGTGGTTTCCTATGTTGCGGGTTTTCTTGAAGAAAAGGGTTTCACTATTGAAAGTTCACCTGGTGTGGACTTGCCATTCTTTTTCCATCTCATGTTAAACGTTGTTCAGCATCGCAGTCTCACTGTGTCGATACCCGTTCTGCATATTTGGTCAAAACTAATTGCATCCCCGAAGGTTGGGAACCTAGAAGTTGTGGTGAACCTCATCCCACCATTACTAACCATCTGTACTGAACGTCTTGTACATTGGGAGTCCCTCCCTGCCGATTCGGAGGATCCCACAGTAATATTCCTTAATGAAGATATTGACACCGTTCCGGAAAAGCATGCATTCGTTGGGAACTACCGTCGCTACTGTTCGTCCATTATCGAAACGATAGTACAAAAACGGCCAGAAGAAGCCATCCCCCATATCCTCCTTGGAGTTGATGGCAATCTAGATAACCTGTATAGCGGGGCCAAACCATTCACCGGTACGTTTACTACCTCTAACTAATTTTTTGAGTTTATGCTAATCAACTACAAGCGGAATCGTTCTCTAAGAACTCAGTGCCTTTGATGCGCGCAGATACGCAATTTGCGGTTGTTGATGCGACCCTGAAGGGTTATAATAAATGGGTTGCACTGCATGGACGGATGCCGCAGCAAGATGTAGGTTTCTTCAGATGCGTGGGCGGAGGTTATACTAACGAAATGTAGGAACAAAGGCGCGCCGAACTAGAAAATATTCTAGAAACTTGGGCATATAAGTTGATGCAAAGAAACTTCGAGGTTTGTTCAGTCCCCAGTTTGGCATCATACGCTCAATTGACCATATGATGTAGGATCCTGTCTTGAAGCAGCGCATCGTAAAACTTGTCGTCGACATATCCTCAAAAGCCCTTGATAAAACACCCAGTTTTGCGCTCAAGGTTTTAGAGTACACTCTTATGACACGTCTACCTGACCAGCCGGAGTTCCCAGCTTATTCAGAAGCCGTAAAGGAGCTCCATGGATTGGCTAGTCATGAGCTACGTCGGCTTGCAACTCGCTATGCTGATTACTTTTCAGTGAGGTCCCCCCCTTATTCGATGACGGGAGGTTCTACTAACAAACGCCTGCAGACCTTCTATGACCTTCTAGAGCCTAAGATCCAAGAGATTACCCTGGCCAACCGAGTGGACGATAAGCTTCATATGGAATTCACCTCTATTCTTCTTATTATTATGTATGGTGGACCTGTCGTTCTATCTACCGTCCAATTGCTGACCACTTTAGGCAACGTGCAAATAACATCGACCCTTACCTGCGTCAGTCGCGATTGGCTTCATTCGTGGAACCGATTAAGCAAGCCTGGCAGGATGACGAGCTCCGCAATATGTGCTCAACCTTTGAAGGGTTTTGCAGGATGCTCGGGCTGCAAAATGTAGGGCCATATATGCAGTCGCAACAAGCTCAAAAGCTGGCGGACTGGTCAGAGGTGACTCTTGATGCGGAGGGCAAACAAGTCCAGGAGGAAATGACCCGAAAGTTTCAGGTGATAAGCCCTTAGAGCCCAATTCTGCAGTTAGAAACTAACAAGCAATATAGCAACTACCTCTAAGGGGCACGAAGACGATGTTAGCTGTCTCTACGGACAAGCTCAAGAAAGCGGAACCACCATACGACATTGCCTGTACTATCTGGCATGACATCATCCCAACAGTCTTACCAATTCTTTTGCAGCTTGTCAGGTAAGATCCATGGTGATAATTGGACGTTCTGAACTAATATCCTGGCAGCAATGCCCATGCGTTTCACAACCCAGAGAATTGGGCCGGTCTGCCTGGTGACATGCGGGGTATTGTTGAGCGGATTCTAACAGATAGATTCTGGCAAGCTGGTATATCAACTGGAAGTCGAGATGATTTCTACGCGAAAATCACCGCTTCTCGGGCGTCCCTTGAGGGCTTCGCGTCATCGGTGAGAGGCAAAATCAGGGCTGTTAGAGAATCCTGCTACTCTATGCTCTTCAGCATGAGCAGAATGCGCGAGCATTTCTATGGATTTGCCGAACTTCCTGGGCCGCTATCCCAAGCTCTTTTCAAAGACTCCCCTCATCTCTCTTCCCATCAATTTTCGGTCCTTCTCAACATCTCTAGGTGTCTAATTGATGACTGCCCTGTCCGCTTTCGAAGCCAATTCTTGCCCCCAATGCTGTCCACCCTATTTATCAATATCGACCGAAAAGTCACGTCGGAATGGGAGATCATTGAACAGCGCAAATCAGGACTGGGAGACGGCGACTTAGCCGATGAAATGAAGTCAGAAAGCATCCTACGACAGCTGACATATTCAACAGTTATCATGGTGGCAAGCCTTCTGGACCCGCAACGAGGAGGTGCGAAACACAGCCCAAAAGAAATCAATCTATCCACCAAGCTAATCCCTGAATCTATAGACCCTGACGAGGAACCCGCGGATCCAAGTGTCCCCCTCCCGCCACCAGCACTGTCAGACTCGATCAGACACTTTGTCCTCTCTTCCACTGAAATTTTCGAGCCAGTAATGCTTTTCTGTACCCACGCCCTGCGTATGCGTGATACACGGTGTTGTAGTATTATAACACGGGTCATTCGATCCATCCTGCAAGACTTTGCTCCTCCCAACAACTCACAAACGGTCATAACTATCCGCGAATTCATCTCTTCCGAAGTGCTAAAGGCATGTATAACGTCAGTGCACGAGCCATACTTCGTCGATATGCAGAAAGACCTGGCGCAACTCATCGCATCCATCTGGGTCTTGTACGGCGCAAGCACAGCAACACCAAAGGCCCTAATACTCAGCCTTCCCGGCATGACTGAACAGTTAGTAGCGAGTACAGAAGCTGCTCTTGTGCGCTCCACATCAGCACGCCAGCAGCGAGCCTTGGTCCTTGACCTCCTAGAAGGGCTTAGAGGTGTCAGCGTTGCCGAACAAGGCAAGATTCTGGGATCTCGTGAAGAACGCCGAAAAGCACGAAGCGCTCTCCAAGAGAGATATATGAGCAACGAGATGGAAGGTCAGCAAGGCCACAAGGTTGATATAAATGATGGACCAGACCTTTCCGGCGTTGCGGATATGTTTGGTTGAGTATGAGCCCTGACTTTGTATATTATGGTCTCACTTGAGCGTATAGTTGGCACCCGGTGGTCTGGAAAAGAAAATAGATATCCTTCCTTGAGGCTTAGATATTATAATGCCTATATCTTGTCCTCCTGATGAACTTATCTACTCCTATATATGAAGATTATGTCTCAGCTTATATGTAGGTTTATAAAAGCACGGAATCATGATAATGGAGAGAAAAACGAAAAAATTGTTGTGAAACTAGTCTGCCTTTTTCCAGACGGTATATCTACAGTGTACATTGTTTCTCGAGCCTTCAACTTCGCCGGAAAACTCCGATAATCGTCTTCGACCTCCGCTCACGCAATTGTATTCCCTTCATCTATTCTTCGCCAGAACCGACAGCTCATATCTATTCTGACTCGTCAACACCAAACAATTCACAATTCACCACACCCCCTTAATTCATGGCCTTTGCGGGCGTGTACGCATATGTAGGACGAACGAATCTAAAATCCCCATTGTTAGTCAGCACCCTCCCAAAAAGGCAATTAAAAAGCCAGCGGACACCAGGCGACGCAATACGTACCGGTCAGAGTTGTAAACCTTCGTCTCGCCTCCCAGCAGTTGCTGCTCGCGCGCCTTGTCGGCGAAGTATCGGCGAGCCTGGTCGCGGTCTTCCTCAGCCTGGAGGAGAGGGAGGATGTGTAGACGACCCCAGATCTTCTCACGGGCAAGCTCGCTAGAACACAAAATTCAATTAGTTACTTCCTTTTTATTGCGTTCGGCGTCTCTGGATTGCGATATATTAAGGTACGTACTTCTGTTCCCGAATACCGTGGAAGAGCTTGTAGTATCCGTAGGCCATGAAAAGGTGCATGCCAACGAGGTAGGTAATGGGTCGGAAACCACGGGCGGGGACGTTGCGCTTTTAATCGGACTACTTGTTAGCACTCAATTCCATCTCGTAGTCGGAACATGGGTCGGTCGTGTGGTGATTTGACTGTTCGTCGGCGGACGAAAGGGAGTAATCAGGCGTACCTTATACTGCACTTGCCGGTAGCCCCCGGCTGGGGGCATATCCTGAGGCATGTTGGCGACTGACGAGATCGGCAGCTGCCTTCAATTGGTGTGGAGAGGGGGCGTTTCGTTCGAAGGGTAGGTCTTCAGTGATGATGGAGTTGGCGGAGAAGTTGGGTTTCTGGTCACGTGTCGGAGCCTGCGTTTGGTAATGGGTGCTTTGTGAGTTGTGATTGGTTGGACTTTCTTCTTGAGGATCGTCCTTCGTTAGGAAGCGCATCGAAATAAGCTACCACGGTACATTTCGTTAGGTTCGAATATTTTACTATGGTTATTAGTAGGGAGCCATCTGAAATATGTACAGAAGGCTAATTGATCTAGACAAAAAACGTCTATGCCGCTGGTATGAAATCACCTGACAGCTAAAGCAGCGACATGAACTTGCTCAATGTGGGGCTGCTTTCACCCGAAGCTTTTTTTTCCAATTCGAAGGAAGCTGGACAGGTTAATACCCCAGCACCTTGTCATCCACTCGAAATCACACAATGGAGGGAGAAGAGCGGCCTAGAAAGATCCAAAAAGTTGATGTGACTGAGGCTCATGAGTCCGAACCGTTAATGACCGGTGCCATTGAAAGCGCGCTTGACGATACCTCCAAACACCACGATGCGACACACGAGATCCCCACTGCGGCCACAGAGAAGAAACCGGAGACGCCAACGCCTGGCCCAGATGGATCCGAACCTACCTCACAGAAGTTATCAAAGAGACAGATGAGAAGGCAAGCGCGGCGTGAACAATGGGAAGCGGAACGAGATTCGCGCAAGGTTGTTCGCAGGCAAAGGGCTGCTGATAAGAAAAGCCGAAAACGCGCAGTCTGGGACGAAGCAAATAAACAGGGCAAAAATCCGTCAGAAGAGGTGCGAAAGCTGTTCCCAAAGACCGAGCGACCCCGAAAACCAACTAGGCTTCCACTTACTCTGGTTATTGACTGTGGATTCGACGACCTTATGATGGAAAAAGAGAGAGTTTCCCTAGCGCAACAACTTACCCGAGCGTACTCGGAGAATAACAAATCTCCATATAATGCTCATTTGGTCCTGTCATCTTTCGATAAATTGTTGAAGGAGCGTTTCGAAACAGTACTTAACAGAACCCATGAGAGCTGGCGAGGAGTTCGCTTCTTGACAGAAGATTGGTTTTATGCTGCGAACCAAGCCACCGAGTTAATGCAAGGGTCACAGGGTGGGGAATTGGATGGGCCGTTCGCAGACAAAGCTGATGCCAAACCGGAAGATGGGGAGATTGTATACCTCTCCAGTGACAGCTCGGAAACATTGACCGAACTCAAACCGTACAGCACTTATATCATTGGCGGCCTAGTGGACAAGAATCGACACAAGGGGATCTGCCACAAGCGGGCAACTGAGCTGGGCATTAAAACCGCGAAGCTACCGATTGGAAGTTATATTCAGATGGCTTCGCGCCCCGTCTTAGCGACGAATCATGTCGTGGAAATCATGGTACGGTGGCTAAAATTAAGGGACTGGGGAGAGGCATTTATGCAGACACTGCCGGCACGAAAAGGGGGTGTTTTGAGGGACAGTGAAAAAGATCATTCGACGCCACATGATGACAATGGCGAACCGTGCAGTGAGAAAGAAGCTGCACCGGAAACAATTGAAACTGCTGACGCCGGTAATAATGACGCCGCCGAGGATCACCAGCAATCTGAATAAATGTACAACCCAAAGACTGCAAGTTCAGTGCTCCCAGTTTCATCCTATATTGAAGGGAATAGAATCAACATAGCATTCTTAGAATACCAATAACTTTGAGCTGCATTTCAAACGGCCTGCAGCCATTGTACAAACTGAAAACGCCACCAAGAGTCGTTCTAGGCCTCTTTTTATTGCTTTGCATACAAAGCAATTGAGAAAGTAGCAGGTATAGATATTATCAGTCGCGCTATAAATATAGGCACCTGCAGGGTTGGTATGTTTTTAAAGTATATATGTTTTATCGTCGTGTTCTATTGCAGTGTATACTTTCCGTTGAGATCTAATATGAATGAAACTAAACAGTTCTGCATTGAATAGCTAATCAATTAATATATTACTGTACGAACTGGAGCAACATAATGACATCTCCAGATCCCAGCGATAAGATAATGCCATTTGCACCGCCACTGGTTTTAGCGCCACAGCATTGCCACATCGTTGCCACTAGGCGATGACATAACCTAAGATCGGTGTTATTTGTTATGGGCCCGCCTCAAAGAAAAAAGTCCAGCATATCATCACTTTCTCCTTGACGTGAAGGACATCCTTCTGGAAGCATCTGGAATTCCTGTTACGGGTGATGAAACCTCGCCTTCTGACTAAGCCTTCAGCTGTCATTTCGCCCTCTGGTTCCTTCGCCCTGTTCCTTTTGTGATCCCTGCTCTGGGGCCACCTTCCTTCAGCAAAAAACAAACAAACTGAGCTATCAGCTGTTGCTCAGCAGCCCGAGATTCCGCCAACATGTTCATGCTCCGTAATGGTATGTCACTGTGCACCTAACCCGCTTTCTCCCTTCTCCTTCCATGTTTCAACTTTCAGTGTTTGTTTGTTTGTTGTTCTTACCCCGCGATCTACCCCTCCTCATACCGCCTCAGATTGACTTTCCACTTTGCCACTGGGAAAGAAGGCATCACACTAACTACTGCTTGTGACAACCACTATAGTGAGCAAATTCATCTTTGGTGATAGCTCCAAAGAATCCATCATCGACATACCGCAAGGCCAACTATACCTCGTCCGCCCACTATCCCCAAAGGGTTACTCTGAGCTTATCTTCAAGGACGCTGCTGCCTCAATTCGACGCACCGGCCAGGAGTTCCAGTATCAACTTGTTATCCAGCGTGCCTATGAAGAAGGGGAGGAAGAGCTTGCCGAAGACGACGACGGCCAGGGAGCTAGTGATTCATTGGACAAAGACGAGAAAGCTTTCCTTCTCGACCAGAATCTCCACTTCCGCTCGGAGGTACGCGAAGGTAGCTCGAAAATCCTCGCCTGGAGAGACCTAAGTGGCGACGTGGGTGACTTGTTTGAATTTGTCTGTGACCCTTCAGCTCCTTCGGACAAGGTTGCCACGTTCGAATTGGCTGCTTTCCAGTGTCAATACGAACGTAAGTATCGCCGAAGCGCCCAGAGGGCGACCGAAGAAGAGCTTCAGGAATTTTCCTTCCAGGAGGAGAGGCCTATCCCGTCTGCAAGCCCGATCGCGTCGCCAACGAAGACTCGAACACATTCTGTGGCGTCTAGGGACTCCGCCATGGTTCGAGACGCTGAATACACTCGCTCCAAGAAGCAACTCGCTGCGCCAGCTGTGACTGATGAGAAAACCGTCGCGCCTCCCTCTGCTACCGAACCCGAGGCCAGGGAACTTTTAACTAAGGAGCGAGCGGAATTGCATCTCTTCGATTTCCAAACTGGAACTTTTGTCCTTCAAGATTCTAACGTGACTGCTACCGTCACTGAAGTTGGTGACTGGAGATACTGGCTTCAAATCAACGGCGAGGACAAGGATTGGTTAGGACAGGCCGTGGTGGCAGATATCAACCCCGTGTTCAATTTTGAATACTTGTCGTTTATCTTCAACCACTATGATGAGGCCGGATCGGCTTATTCTTGGCTTTTGCGCTTCAAAGACCAAGAAACGGAAGAAAGGTTTCAGCAGGGTTTGCTCCAAGCGCTCTGGGAGCAACTGAACGAGGTCAAATGGACTAAAGTGAAGGACAACGACAAGGAGTATGTCTTGGACGCTTTCCAGGATCTCACCATGGAAGATGCAGAGGAGGCGGAGAAAGAAGAGGAGGAAGAGGAGGAGGAAGAGGAAGATGACACCAATGATGGCCAACGCAGCGAACACTATGATTCTGATGAAGAGCAGGACGACGTTGTGACGCGTGATGCCGACGGAAATGTCAATTCTCAGCTCGCCGTCGGTTACAAGCATGATCGCTCCTTTGTCGTTCGTGGTTCCAAGATTGGAGTCTTCAAGCACACGCCGGACAACAACCTCGAATTTTCCACCAACATTTCCAAGGTCGAAACGCCCAAGGGCAAGCTCTTCAGTCCTAAGAAGGTCATGCTGCACGCTGAAGACTCGAATCTAATTCTCCAGAACAACGATAACCCCAACTCTCTCTATCGAATGGATTTGGAATATGGTAAGATTGTCGACGAGTGGAAGGTCCATGATGATATTCCGGTCGAAACCTTTGCTCCTGAGAGTGTAAGTCTTTCCTTCTATAAATAATTATTGCCATTCTGGTATTGATTCTGGCAGAAATTTTCTCAAATGACATCTGCTCAACCATTCGTTGGAGCTTCTAACAATGCACTTTTCCGTGTTGATCCTCGTTTGGCTGGAAACAAGCTGGTTGATGCGGAACTGAAGCAGTATGCGAGCAAGAACGACTTCTCTGCCCTGGCAACAACAGAGAAGGGATATCTCGCCGTGGCCTCCAACAAGGGTGATATTCGTATGTTTGACCGTCTGGGAATCAACGCAAAGACACATATTCCCGCACTGGGAGAGGCCATATTCGGTCTAGATGTGTCTGCTGATGGCCGCTGGATTCTTGCTACTTGCCGCACCTATCTCCTTCTCATTGACTCTCTGCAAAAGGACGGTAAGAATGAAGGCAAACTCGGATTCGAGCGTTCGTTCGCCAAGGACTCCAAACCACAACCTCGACGGCTCGGTCTAACACCTGCCCACGTTGCTCAATTCCAACACGAAACAAAGAAGCCAATTTCGTTTACCCCCGCTCGCTTTAACACTGGTGTTGATAGTGAGGAAACTTCTATTGTCACTGCCACGGGTCCATTCATCATCACCTGGAACTTGAAGAAGGTTGTTGCGGGCCGCAAAGACCCTTACACCATCAAACGCTATTCTGAGGACGTGATGGCCGACAATTTCCGCTTCGGTTCAGACAAGAATGTCATTGTTGCGCTCCCCAATGAAGTCAACATGGTTGCAAAGCGAGCCTTACAGAGACCAACCCGCGAAAGCATTGCTGGCCCCGTCACACCCAGCCGTCGCGGCACTCGCTGGGGCAGCCGGCTTGGTAGGGATGATATTGTCAATTCTCCTTATTAGATTCCCTTTTTTTGGTGTTTCTTTTTTTTACGTCGACCATGCTTTTGACGATTACGTGAATATTTTCTTTGAGATATGCATACCCCTGTCGTTTGTATTATTTTATGATCTGATCTATTCCTGCTTCTATCTTCCGCCCTTGATTTTAATTATTATTGTAATATTCACCGTCCCTATTCGTGATTGGTAGCGCTTGGTACAACGCTCAACCTCACGTTTAATATCCACATAGGTAGCTAGATAGTAGTAGCTAGTAATAAATGACATGAACATGAAAGTCACTACTAATTCCTATTCAACTGTGAAAACTTTGTTAGTTCTCTCCAAAAAAATAGCCAGACCAGGATGATGCACCCAGCCAGACAGAAGCTAATTCCGCACGACTTCCAGATCAGGAATCGGCTGCTGAGGCAAATGGAAGCTGAAGGCGCATGTTGATCTATCTTCATACGCAAGCTAGAGACGTCGTCCATGGGTTTCGAGTCATCTTCCCGTGACATTGCCCAAGAGTACCTGCCCAATAGAGCCAGCCCAGGATTTTTGTAGTCACGCGTCACATGTCTATACGTCATCCTGCGACAAACAAAAACCACCAGTTAGTGCTTATTTTTACATTCAGTTCCTTTTTATCGCGGCTATTTTGATCAGGCCAAATTTCTTCCCGGCATTTCTATACCTTTCATGCATAGAGGTTGGTAAGGTGGGCCCTTAAGTTGGCATCCTACACCGTACATCTCTTGTTCAGCCCTAGTGGGGACGATTAGTCAAATGGAACTGACCGTTGCTAGATCAAGAAGCAGCCATGATGTTTCCTTCGGAGAATGTTATTTCCAATGCTTTTCTCTCCCAGCACCCATCGAACCGGGCTCCGCAGACTTCCGGTGCTACGGAGTGGAAACGAGAAGCATTTCCCGCTTGGAGTGTTGTCGAGGATACCAAAAAGAAGGCAGATGCCTTTGGCAAAGAAGCTGCGCGCGAATACAACATCGTGAGCCAGAAGGCCCAAGCTAAGACCGGCAAGATCGAGCCATGGACGGCCAAATATTATGCGTCTTGTACCATCGGTGGGTTGATGGCTTGCGTAAGGGCTATTTGTTGACTCTGGTGACATCTACTTAACTAACGGTTGACTAGGGCTTTACTCACACCGCTGTTACTCCATTGGATCTCATCAAATGCCGGCGCCAGGTTGACTCATCAATGTACAAGAGCAATATGGATGCATTCCGTAAGATCCGCGCCGCCGAAGGCCTTAGGGGTGTGTTTACCGGCTGGAGTCCCACGTTCTTTGGCTACAGCGTAAGCTGAAAATGCTACTGTGATGAACCTGCGGATGGTACTGACTGGGTGAAAAGGCCCAAGGAGCCTTCAAATATGGAGGATACGAATACTTCAAAAAGTTCTACAGCGATCTTGTTGGAACTGAAAATGCGAACCATTACAAGACAGCTTTGTACCTAACTGCCAGTGCTTCAGCTGAGTTGATTGCCGACGTTGCGCTCTGCCCGTTCGAGGCTGTGAAAGTCAGGACGCAGACGTCTATTCCACCCGAGTTCCGCTCTACTTTTGGCGGAATATCTGCTGTCATTGCTAAGGAGGGAACATCTGGGTAAGTAGTAATGTGGACCGTGGGCCCCTAGCAATACTAACTATGTCAGATTGTATAAGGGCTTGTATCCTCTCTGGGGCCGGCAGATTCCTTACACCATGATGAAATTTGCCTCTTTCGAGAACATCGTCGCGGCCATCTATCACTACCTCCCAGGAAAGAAATCCGACTATAACAAGGGCGCGCAGACTGCTGTTGCATTTTCCGGGGGCTATCTCGCCGGTATTCTGTGTGCCATAGTTTCACACCCTGCGGACGTCCTCGTTTCCAAATTGAACGCCAATCGACTACCCGGCGAAGCATTCGGTGCTGCCACTAGTCGAATCTACAAAGAGATCGGCTTTGCAGGTCTATGGAACGGCCTTCCTGTCAGGATTGTCATGATCGGAACCTTGGTGAGTTGGTTATCTCCGTAAGAACCTCCTAAAGCTTTGAGCTGACGGGTGTTTTTTTAGACCGGTCTCCAATGGATGATGTATGTTCTTGCTTGCTTTTTCCAGCCCATCTAGATCGAGATCTGGAGATTTCTTGCATGCCAGGTGCTAACTTTAAACAGCTACGATTCGTTCAAAATCTTCATGGGTCTTCCGACCACAGGAGGAGGCCCAGCGCAGAAGGAGCAACAGTAGGTTGCCGCGTAGGGTGAGGCAACGCCAGGGTAAGATGGCGCCATGTGCAGATGTAGAACGATGGCCATGCCGCTCTCTATGTTACCATCAAATATATCAGATTATGTGTTTGTATAATTGAAATTAACATTTGCTGGTTCCATATTTACCCTGTGCTATCGAGGTTGGGAAGAAGCGGCGCAATCCATTGCTCACTATCAATCAAAAAGTTAGTCACTACTTTATCTTATCAGCTCGGCCTCATACTCCCGCTTGATATAGATCTTGGTTCCTTTACCTATCAGCCCCAACGTCATTAGCCTTGTCCCACTAGTTCTTGGATGCGCCGTAAGGGCAAAGTCGGGTCCTGGTCCTCCCGTACTTTATTTATCTCAGATCCCCCTCTTATCTATCCTCCTTCCCCTGCTCCGATCTCTACGGCCTGCTATACACAGCGCTAAAAACACAACACAGAGAGCAAGCAGCTCAACATGGTCGAACACGAAGCACCCATCGTCTCTCACGGCCGAGGAGGTTTGTTTTGTTTCTGGTCAGACTACACCCGTTCTGCAAACACAACTGACACAGCATCGCAACCAGGACAAGGAAACATCGGTCCAGATAGTAACGAGTACATAAACTCCACCCCGAAAGCGCGCCTAATACTAAATAGATAAAATATAGGTACATTGACGGTGGCATAGTCCGCGAAGGGCCCATCGGTGACCAAGGTGACGGGGCTTATTCCGCTGGTGTATGTCAATGTCCCCTTTCCCACATTTCTCTCGCGCGCGCACGCGCGCTCGTCTTATTCTTTCCGTCTCAACGACATCCACAATATCGCTAATAATATATTATTAACTTCCAGCGCGGCGGCGCAGGCAACATCGGCTCCCCACATGTAAAACCAACAACCAAAATTCCGCACGATGCGGAGTTCATCCCCGAAATATCGGTGCGCCAGTCCATGGAAGGGGATTATCATACCGGTGTACGTGGCTCAGTCCCCTCCCATCCTACCTAAACCTGGAACCTTGGCTAGTTGTATTGGTTCGCTAACCAATGTCTCTTCCTTGATGTGGCGTATAGCGGGGCGGCCAGGGAAACGTCCATCTAGACCCCGAGCACCAGAAAGCCAAAGACGAGAAAAAGGAAGAAAAGGCCAAGGCGAAGGAGGAGAAGAAGGCTGAGAAGGCGGCTGGTGCTGCACCTGAGGGTTTGGCGGATAAGTTGAAGTTTAAGATCTTCGGCAAGAAGTGACCTACCTAGGGTACTTAGGGACATAGCCTGGGTTGGGGTTATCTTTGGGATTTGAGTCCTGTCTATACGGTATCTGATATCATACAATATGTGGGTATCGGTATTGACAGGATGAAGTTGTCGGAATGATCTTTTGTCTTTGTTGTTGTTTTTTTGTCTATATTGTGATTCCCTCTACAATTGTTTTTGTCAGTTTTTGTTTGGAATTTGACTACCTCTGCCTAAGATCCTAGTTCTTTGGTTATAAATACAGGAATAATGCTGTGAGTATATATGGAAATGCCCGAATCGAGTGCAGGAGGTGAGACAAATCCAATAATTCAACGTCAAGTGCTCAAGCCATAACATCAAAATACAATCCGCTCAAAATCAAAATAAAGTAAAGTGAGGTGTTGCTATAATTTCATAAGTAGGAAAGGGAATAAAAACATAGGGTCCCTGCATATACTGAATCGTAGTCTCATCATCCATCCATAACCGATTAAATAATCCTGCAAGCAAATATTCGAATAGAAACAAAGGAAAAATGCGAATTCCTCCACCACACTCCAGCGCCCTAGTTAGATAAACGCCATTGAGCATTACATTCGCAAAAAGTAAAAACACGCTGAAATAAAGTGGGACCGGGGAAAGTAAGGTGAACTAATTTTTGCTGAATCTTCGTTTGAACCAGCTTTTTCGCTTCGTACTATTGTCGCCCGCGTCGGAAGAGATGCTCTGTTGCTGTACCGCTTTGCGCTGTAGATGGCGTCGACCGGCTGCGAGCGGTGCACCACCAACAGGGCCGCCGGCGTTCGGATCATGCGCTGGCGGTGGCGGCGCTGGGGCTTGACCGTACGGGGTCTTTTTGGCCGTATTGGGCGTGAATGCTTGATCGTTGATATTTGGCCCGGCGCCGAAGCCTTGGAAACCGTAGCTCTCAGCCATAGCCTGCTCCTGCTGTTGCTGTAGTTGCTGCTGTTGCTGAAATTGGTCAAGCGAGCTGTTTATTGAACTCGGGTCGGTCGAATTGGCCCATTGATCGGCAGTGCTACCAGAACCTGAGGGTGATGCCACCGTGATGTTGTCCGATGATTTATAGTAGCCGCCTTGCGCGTATCCATTCTGGGGATAGCCGTTTTGCTGGCTTGAGTACGATGGTTGCTCAGAATATCCCCGGGCATGTTGACGCGGTCGCCGCGGGCCGTTTTGATTATACGGATAATAGCTCTCCGAGGGTCCTCCACCGTTATAATAACCGTTGCCGTTATCAATGTAACTGTTCGGTCGTGAATAGTTCGCCCGGCCGGGGTATCCGCGATCAGTATATTGCCTATGCTGTCCGTTTGAATGTGGGTTGTAGTAACTGCTCCGTCTGCTGTAATCACCAGGAGTAGATTCTTCAGCTGCATCTAATTAGCGACCAAGTTACCAACGGCCGATCTGAGATAAGAGTACTCACCTGTTTGTGCGTAGGACCCAGGGCGACCAGAATATTGTCCATAGATAGCAGCCTCGAATGAGCGGATTGTGTCCAGAGGACGTTCGAAACGGGGGCGAGTAGGGTTCGAAAGGTCAGGGTCAACTACAACCGTTAATACCAAAACGATACTTCCAGGAACAACGTTGCGATCGGGGGAAACGAACCTATCACATTTCCATATTGGTCTTTGTGTTGAAGTTCCCTAAGGCTACCTATATTGGACTTCTCCAAAGCAACCAGGTCTGCGAAGGAGTCGGTCAACAAACGTCAAAAACTAGGATGGGCCTCGAGCGACACCTACTTGGTTGCGCCTCGTTCATGGCAAGCATTGGGTCGGCTTTTGTTTGTAGACTGCGTCTATGTTTTTCCTCGGCGGATTCAGTGAGATGTACTTTATTGCCAGAACCGCTGGAGCGATGGGTTTTTTCTGATCTCTCGGATCTGCCGCTAGAGCTGAAACCACGACTGCGTCTCGGAGACGCGGGCTGGGGGGAGGCCATTTTTATGACGAAACCTATTATTTAGCGGCCGATTGAGCAGGCTGGGAATTGGAGCTTTGGACCCGTCACGATCACCGTTGTGGAGTGCGGCGATTCGGAGAGTGGAAACCGCCAAGGCACAGTGGGTTGAATGGAAACGACGATTAGCCCAGGTGTATGTAGTCTATTGAATCTGTGCGTTCCTTGATGGAGTCGTGATATGCACGTTTTGTCTCGTTTCAAGAGAAGGCAACTAGCGGGAGCAAAGTGCGAGAATATCGAAGGTCGCGGGCGGGAAAAGGTTGCGTGATTATGATTATCAGGCTTCAGTAGTGTACACCGTATAGGCACGATATCTTTACAGAGGGAGGTATGACGTTTGGATTGGATAAAAATAGTTGAGAGCGAGCGACAGCGCCAGCACGAAACGTGTGGGAATGTGGAGGCAGGGAATTGACGCTGCAACGGATCGTCAGCCAACGAGACCCAAAAAAAAAGATGGTTGGGGATCGACGGTGAAACACAGACAATGGAGATGGCCGATATTGCTATTGCTTGGACGAGAATGGTTAATTACCTGGTCTGTTAAGAAGCGGTTCACGATTAAAGCGAAGGTGAATGAAAGGCTGCTGGCACTGATGAAGCCGACGGGGAGAGGGGAAGAAGAGGAGGACGGACAATGCCTTTTGACTGACTGCGCTGGACAAGAAGTTGACGAGTGCCGCCACGCAAGCACCGCCATGGATGGATTGGATCTGTTAGAACCTCTCCTATCAGCGCCTCTCCGGGTTTCTCTTGCGTTCTTTCTCTTTCATATGACCCAGGTTTCAAATCTATCCATTCAATTCTCTGACAACAGTCTCGGTAACGGGTTACGACCCCCCTCCGCAGCCGCTCAGGCAATTCCATGGGACGGCCATCGCGTGCGTGCCAGGCACCAAAATACAGATTACAACCTGGCAACCAGAAGCCAAAACATGAGTCTGTGTCCGAGTGTTCGCCACGCATTACTCGATATATGGGCCCTACACAAATATCAGGTTCGCTTGTTTTTCAGCGTGTGAGCACCTGAGCACTAGCGGTCGCTGTTGAGACAACTGTGCAACCACCACCAATTATCATCTCAACAACCAATCCTCGCTTGGTCTGGTTGCGTTATTGCTGATTGTTTCCGGATCCTGCCGCCAGTGCCCAGAATAGCAGACACGAGTGGACGGCAGGCGAGGGAAACCAGGTCTTCGACACGCTCTGCGGCGACACGAGCAGGGGCGATTCGTCCGCGGAATTCCAATTGGCCATTTGCCACTTCATGGCTGCCAGATTGCCATTCTGGGCCTTCATCACGACTGCATTGCCAGATCACTCGCAAAGCGGGTCTATTATGCGTTCGCTGTCGGCCGGCCTCAGCTGCTCGTGAAGCTTAGCCTGAGGTTGCTGTTGCTGATCTTCGGCTCATGGACCTCACGATGACGGCTGCAAACCCTACACAGGTTGATCACAGTCTCCCAAGTCAATTCCCAAGTTTTTCTCTACTTGTTCTTTCCCCAAATTATTTATCTCCATTACTTCTCGGGCGTCTCTTGGCTTCCAACCCCAACCCACATTCTCAACGTCCCTCCACTTGACCGTTGACATCGCGACGATCTCCATTCCAGTACCCGGTGGGTCATGACGGTGGGGGATGGCGCTTACCTTAATCCTCATTAACTCATGGCCTCACGCTCGTCACGGCATTCCATGCAAGGAGTCGAATCTTCTCCAGATCTGTGGATTGATCTGCTTGTAGCCTTGAAGGCTAAGAACCAGCAAGTATTAATCCGGCTGCTCTGATTCGAATACAACACAGCATGGGCGCTCTTAAGTGGATCCCTTCGCTACTTAGCCGCTCTTGACAGCGGTCCTCAGAAATATGTTTAGACTCCTCTGGTTCTGTAGCCATCTAAACAGCCGATCAGGTGGTGTTAATCTTGCCATTGAGAGCTTCTGTTTACATCTAGCACCCTTATCCGGTGGTTGAAATTAATTTACTATATACGAACAGATATATATATTCTTCATCGTGTTATCCAAATCCAACTTTCATATAGTTTGGGCCTTCTGGCGCCCACTCATTATCTCACTTATATATTACCAAAGCATACCCGCCTTCGCAATGTTAATCCTGTCTCGTTATCGAGACATTATCGCCGATTCCGGTAACGAAGTTCCTAGCCCGGACAACCCCAATAGAGTCTTCTACTATAGTAGTATCTCAACCGACTTTACAAATTGTTAAAGGGTGCACCAAAAATAAACAACGTGCATGTACCGCACCATCAGGCGACTGCATAGAGCGGGTGCTATTTCAATAGCAACATCGCACGTTTACTAGCCTAAACTCCTGTACGAGTACTCAGAGTACTAACAATACTAACAGACGAGCATGTGTTAAACGTAAATATGTTGTCTTAAAGTGCGAAAAGCGTCACTCGCTCATTTTATACATAATACAGCTTATGCTCTGATTTCGTAATATTCATGTACCCTTTCTAGACTATGCCTCATCTTATACCACTGAAAGCAAGCGCACTTGAGCCGGGACTCTGGGTTCAAGATTAACTGTCCGATAGCCATGCAATCACGTACTTCGCTGTAGCAAGACGCTGAATACACATTCTAGCAGATTTGACTAGCCTTTAAGCCTAATTAGACCCGTAGCGGATGAATAGTTGGTAGGTTGTAGACACCGTACCTGAACAACTGACCAAAGACTAATACCAAGATAGCATTTTGTGCATATCTTTATTCGTGACGACAAGAATAAACACAGTCAATGCACAATAATGAGATTGCCTGACCTCGCAATACTGTCCAGTCCATGACTCCTACATTACATATCCCGAACAAACCAGAATGTACTACAGCTAATTCTATGCCGGCATAAAAATGGCCTTAAGAACTTGGCCAATCTACCTACTGAGATTTGTATTCCATCGTCTACAGTTCTAGCCTTGTTGTGCTGAGTCGAATGGAAGACATGAATAAATTTCGGATATTAATAGTGTTTAGATATCACTGTTCAGTGGCGTTTTGTCCATATTACGCACATGTTTGCTTCCATTCTTGGCTGTTTTCGGTAGGGGATGCTACGGGTAATATGGTGCAGGTAACAGGTGTGGAAGTTGGTGGAAACAGCAAGTCATGGCTTAAGTGGCTGGCAGAGTGGGCTGCGTTGGGATTGGCCTGGAAGCATATTCTTCGCGCAGAGGGATCACGAAACATGCCGGTACAATGGCGAATTTGGCGGGAACAAAGTGAACTCATATTTGAGGGAATGGCTTAGTTGAAATGGTCTGGATTGGGTGTTCATGAGCGTCAAATACACTGGAGTAGCCATCCATGCCGTTTAAGACATATCACGGCCACCTGGACAAGAACAAGGTATGCCGGTTTGAATGTCTATAAGATGGAACAGTAACCATGTTGTAACGTAGACAAGAGATCCCATTTTATCTTTTTATTTTTGATTCGTTGGGCTGACCGGCCCTGCCTCTCCCACGATCATTATCAACCCACTAACTCCATCTCAACCTTGGGCCCATCCCGTCGACTCCTTGCCTGACTGTCTGTGCAAAGATTCCGGAGTTGTGCCGCGGATATCTGAAAAATAACGGGGACATTTAGATGTTGGAGGGGTAGAGCATAACACGGACGGTAGCACCGAAGGACTTGGCGGGGAGGTTGTGACGGAACTGTGCGCGGACAACACCGGAGTTGCCTATTGAAATCGTTTGTCAGTTTGCTAGTCTCTCATCATAGGGACATCATTCTCTCCATCGCTTCGATGCCGGAATGCATTCTCATCACTGAGATTCATCACGTACCGTGAGGGCGGGTGACCTTGCCCCAGATCACCCGGATGTTGGAGCCCCGAACCTCGCGCTTGGCCCGGTAGACGAAAGCGACCTTCTTGCCCAGGTAGAAGCTATTGCCGTCTTAGCATTTGGTCTATATATTTGATCATGTAACCGGAACTACTCACTTTGCGCCCTCAGTGTTGTCAACACCGTCGATCTTGATCAGACTGTTATGACTGTCAGAAACCCATCTTCTTTCCAAAATATTCAGTTCTCGGATCAGTACCTTGTGTTGGGGTTGACAGCGCGCTTTGAGCGCTGGTAGCTCAGGTGACGTCCCCTAAAAGAACAATCGTATTAATCCATCTGTCCCATCTCTGAAAATATATCCCACGCCTCATCCACGATTCCGACTCGAAAGCAGCTTCCTGACCAGATCCCGTTTCGGCGCGGCGACACGATGAAAAGAGCGCAACTTACTTGACGTAGACTATAGGCAGAAAACAAGTTAGCATCTTCTTCTGGGAGACCCCGATCACCGCGCAGTTGCCATCTTCATCCTATCCAATTCTCCCAAAACGTGACCACCAACAACTCCAACACGAAAGGGCGTACTCACGTCTGTGACCTTGTTCCGCAGGCATTATGACGGTTATTCTGAGCGGGCAACACAAACAAGTCGAGAGGTTGTCAAAAATGACCCGCAAAAGTCGTCCGGGTTGTCGTGGTTGTCGTCGCTTCGGTTGGAGTTCTGAGACGCACAATGGCCGCCAATTCCGTGTGTTCGGCGCGGCTCGCCCTAACCCCTTTTGGGACGCTTAGCGAGTGACTCCAGTTGCCCCAGGGCTGTCCGAAGTCCCGTGATTTGTATCACATGATCCAATACCCTAAACCATTTTTGGCGGCGACTTAACCTAGTCCTTTTTGGGGTATTCACGCAACATCTATTCTTCCATACTCCGAGATAATTAAGGCTTCTCTGCCGGTGTTCTGGAATTGTGGCTTCATGAACCCCACCATGTCACCATTTTCCGCCGGGCTTCTGTAGTCCGGGAACTCCCCAGCTGGCAAAATTACGGTATCCGGTCACTTCAACCCGGTAAGCGAAGTCCCGTCTTCATGCAGCTTGATAAGGTTTTTTTCGGCTGTTCTCCATAAAGCTGGACCGCCGTTGCGTGGAAGAGAAGCTGGAATGCGTCTCTGGGATGAACTTTACTGACATGGCGGACTTCGATCTGTACTCCGGACCTCCCGCCCTGGCGGCAACAGTGGAGCAGCAACGTAGTTTTGAACCACACTCCAAGGGCAAGGCTATCAACCGCCAACAACCTGGACATCAAGAGGATCAGACCGAAGCACAGATTCGGAAAAGTTGCCCCACATAGACTCGGCAACCGACCCTGAATGCTTCTCTCTTTCCCCGTGAAGTGGTGAAGCATGCGCGCATCCTTATAGATCTGCTGGAAGTCGCGTACGGGCTCCGTAGCGGGTGTTCTGTTACACTGCAAAAAGAAAAGAAAAAAAGATGAAAGCGCCGATATACGGAGGTACAGGCGCTGTGTGCGACTTTCTTTTTGAAACCTCAGTTCAAGCTTACAGCTCTTGTTGATGATTCTGGAATTCTGCAGCTCTTAACTCCGGAGGAAGCTGGCCCGAAGTGATGCGCTCGGTCGATCACGACGGATAAGTTTACGGGAAAATAGAATCCGTATCGTTCGTTCTACGTGACAAATTGCCGATCCATCTCCACGGAGCAGGACCAGCGGTTAATGGATCCTTGGGATATGCTGAATGCTCTATCTCCTATCAAGTTATCGACTGACTCAAGTCTCGGAGTCCGGCGTTTCACTGTGCCATGAAGCATGTCCAACCCCTCAACAAGGAGGCTTCGAAGCAAGTGGTAGGTAGTGTAGCGACGTGATTGAAACGGGTAGTTGCTTCCACCGGCCATGATGGAGGGGATGTGGCATGCTTGTCGCTTACACGTGGTCAACCAATTGATGGAGGTGGTAGTGCAATACTTATAGCATGGAGTAGCAAGAAGCCGGCGGTATCGTAACAGCCATGGTATCAAGCTGGGGAGATGCTCCATGGAGACATTCCGATACTCTCAAAGTACCCTTTAATGCTAAACATATTGGGCCGTTGCCATGAACACGATTCTGTCCTTATGTAGGCGTTGGACGATTGTGCGCTGATATTGCACCGTGCTAAAGAGGGGAAGGAGGTTGGTGCTGCAGTCAGCTTTAGCTTCCTATTCGGATGTATAAAGAGTCGTATCCTGTCAGATCTTAGCCTAGAGGGTAAGACTGACGGCAAGAAAGAGCGAGCGCGGGGTCACCAGACCACGTACTATTCGACGGAGTTGATGCGAAAGGGGAGAGGGTCATCTGTC